CTTCTGGTGTGTTAGTACCAAGTCTAGAGTGGACGGATCATGTCTTCTCTAGCATCCTGGAGAGGCTAAGAACCAAGAGAAAAGCTTTGAAATGTCAATCCCTTAATCACCCTTTATTATAGGTTAAGCCAAAATTAAGTCGCCTCTCCTCCTCCTTCTATATGATAATGGGAAGAGATTTAAATGCTCCATCCTCTTATCATAAGGAAGGTGTGAGATACCACTAACTAATTTCGTTCCTACCCTCTGTACTCTTTGCAGGATATGTGCCTACTTTTTGAGGCATGGACTCACCGCTTTTATGCAGTATTCTAGATGAGGTCTGACATATGTTGCATAGAGTACTTGGAACATACCCTCGTCTAATCGTTAGAAAGCCCTTCGAAGTGCCCATAGCATTCGAAAAGACTTAGCTGCGGCTCAATTCCAATTTACCGTTGTTTTTAAGTCATGGCTTACAATAATTCCCAAGTCCTTTTGTCCCCTAAAATCTGGCAGTTCTGTGTCCTCCAGGGAGTACGATGCGTAAGACTTCTGACCTAGGTGCATTACCGTGCTTTTCTTGGAATTAATTTCCAGACTCCAAAGGTTAGCCCATTCGGCTAATTTATCTAGATCGTTTTGTAGTACCAACCTATCATCGTTACTATTTACGGTTTTCCAAATCTTAATATCGTCCGCAAATAGTAAGGAAGATGAGATAAGAATTTTCGGCACTTCATTTACGTATAATGGGAATAGCAGGGGGCCAAGTACAGTTATCTGAGGTACTCCACCTAGTACTGCTTTCCACCCTGACAGTACACCATTAACCCTCACCTTCTGCCTTCTATCCATCAGATAGTCTCTAAACCATTCACATAAGCGTTGGTCTAATCCAAAACGTTTAAGTTTACTAAGAAGACCTAAATGGGATACCGTATCGAATGCTTTACTAAGATCGATAAAGACAATGTCCAGTAGATGGTTCTCATCCCTGGCCTCGACACAATCTTCCCTAGCTAACAGTAAGTTTGTCAAGCAGGATCGTCCTGGTCGGAATCCATGCTGTTCCACTGCCAGTAAGCCATGTTTTTCCATATGAGCTAAGAGCTGATCCCTTATGAGTTTTTCTAACACCTTTGCTATAGTGCAGGTCAGACTTACAGGCCGGTCGTTATATACTAACTGTCTGTTCCCCTCTTTGAAGATGGAGCTTATAAAAGCATCTCTCCATTCCCTGGGTAGCCTAGCCTGGGTCAGAGACATTTGAAAAACCTCCGTAAGTGGAATGTATATTATATCCGCCAAGGAGATTAGCAGTCTAGGGTGAAGTCCGTCAGGTCCAGCTGATTTACCTGGCTTCAGCTTAGACAGTAGTTTGAGAACCACTGCATCCTCTACCAGAATTGTTGGCATTTTAGTGGCTACATCAGTGACCTCGCTACACCCCTAAGTGGTACGATTAGGCGAGAAAATATCACAAAAGTATTCAGAGAGCTTTTCAGCTTTTGTTCCGTCTGACTCGGCCGCCTCTCCGGTATTGCTAATGAGGGACGGCATACCACTGCTAGTTTTAGTCCTGCGTTTGATATACGAGTACAGTCTTTTCGGATAATGCACACAATCCAGTACCAACTGTCTCCCATACTCTATACGACTTCTGTCAGTCTTATACCTACAAAGGTTCCGAATTTTGTGGTATTCTATCCGAAACTCATCCCTCCCAGTCACAGTAAACCGGTCCCATAAGTCTTTCCGTTTTGTTTTTTTGGCTTTATTTTCGTGGGTGTTTTTTGTGATTGGCTTTTTTTTTGGTTTGGCTCTGTATGTCGGTTCAGTCCTAGGTTGTTTTTGTTATGATGCTCGACTTGTTATGGAATAATATTATTTATTTTATTTGTATTTTGGTGATTTCGAATGTTGGTTTTCGGTATTAGAATTCAGGATGTATGTTTACTCTAATGGTTAGCCTAACGTTAAATACCTATATTATATCAGTGTGTTCATCTTAAGTGGACAGAACATGGTATTTTTTCTGTGGGTATGCTATTGGAGGAATTATTTCTTTCAGTTTGTTGCTCAAGATGACATTTATCCTAATGAAAATGTATTGGTTCGAAGGATTGCCGTTACTTTTCAGAATACTGAAATGCTTAGATATTGTTTTCATTAGTCGTCATTAAGAAGGATTCCAAATGTGTGAGATGGAATGCTTCTTTTTTGTCAAATGACCGAAGCTTTCACGATCTGTTTTTCGTAGACGTTTTCATTATGCCAGTTATGTGCATGCACTGATTCATATGATTAGGAGTACTTTATTGTATCACAGTTGCATGCAGTTGATCCTAATCTACAGATGATTGTCAGCAAAATGAAACAGTGAATGGTCTTCTTGAGAGGATGCTAACTGATGAAGGGTATGAGTGTGTATCACTAGATTCATTACAATGATCCTTCAGACACTGCTGTTTCACAGAGTACTGTTCTATGAAATGCTAGAAACATTATCAAGTGAGTCTGAAGAGATTCTAAACAACTCCACTAGCAAATTTAATACATGACGGTGAACATATACAGGTATGCTATTATTTCATAAACAATAGATATTTGAAGGGACAGAATTCAGTAGAACGTTACTATATAGTACAAAATGGAGTAAAGTACAGAATTGTACGAATCTGATTTGGAACAGGTAGCTACAAGAATATAGTACACGCATGATCGAAGTGGGACCCGCAGAGATAAGATCTAATCTTAGCTAACAATACGGACGCCTGTGGCCGAAAGCTGCAGTTAAACAGGTGTTTTCTGATCAACACAGATAAATGAGTAGGCCACCTTTAAAGAGAAAGATCAAACGAGGTCTAAGAAACGTCTATTTGTTAGAAAAGACAAACTATTCGTGTACTTCGGAGATGAGACGATGATATAGTAGTCGTGTCGCATGATGTTAGCTTCAACAGATAAACATCGTAACAGCCTAAGGATCAGTCACCATTTCTCTCTCATCAACAATACTGTCACACGCTTAGTGGTCATTCTTATGTAAACGCCTACCGCTTAGGGCAGTGTGGATCTGATATTTTTATCTTCTCATATCCATGAGGTGTGACTTATTAGACATCCCAGTTCCCGCGTTGATACTGTCCCCAGTATGCTTCTGCTTGAAGTATGAACTACGTTGTATTTGTTGTCTTTATACAAACTATAACTTTTACTATTTAGCAAAAGATAAAACTTTGGGGCAGGTTATCTGCATTTATCAGTATTGCCATCTGTATACCCATCACAGTGCGTCGCTGGTGCAGCGGTAGAATGATCGCCGACCATGCATGTGGATCGGGGTTCGCCCGGCCGACGAACTCGTTTACCTCGCTATGCCAGTAATAAAGGTGGTAAAGAGGAAAGGTTGGGCATGAGGTTAGCAACCCAATCCTGTAAAAATAAACACTACTACAGAAACTTCAAGTCTTTAACTTGAAACCCTATGTTCCACTGGGAAGTGAAGGAGTGAGAAAAAAATACCCATCACACCATACGAGATGTGGTGAGGAACCAATAAATTTGGAAATCACCATTATGTAGTCACCTTTGATTAAAGAAAACTTCTGATTCTAAAATTAAAGCATATCCATTGTTTCTGCCATTTCTTATGCTCACTTGTTCCATCTGAATGTAGCTCTTTTTGTAGTCCAATTCTAAATATCCTGAATGAGTTTTCTAACCTCCTAGGATCATGTGCAGTGACTAGTCGATCATGTCAGGTCCTAGGGCGTCGATATCTACATTACACACAGATTACTTGTACAGTTATTTATAATCTACTGGCTTTTTAAAGCTGTATACAGCTTAAACGGTTAAAAAAAACCTGCACCGTAATGGCAATCCACCTTTTCACATTTGCCAAGAATATCTAATAAAGTGGTGATACCAAACATGGTGAATTAGTGCAACTGATGCTTATTTTATACTTTAACTTTGTGTTAGATGTTAGCTAACAGAGAACCTTGTGTTTAGAGTATATGTATACATGGAGTTGTGGTCATTTAGCCAATTGAATTTTATCCAATAGGTTATAACGTAGCAACCACACCCAACCTAACTGTTCAAGGAGTCCAGCCAGTTCGAACACCATTCATTTTTCAATTGTATCTATGAAGGATCAAAAAAAGACTATACTGAAACGAATTATATATATATATATTATCATACATTTAACAGAAGACACTTTTTAAACAAGTAGAAATCTTAGTTAACATCCGATAAATGGAACTTCTGTGACTTTGAAGTCGTCAATCGTTTCTGCAATTCGTAATGTGAGGGTCAATGTCAAAAGGAAATAAAATTTTAGGCTTCAATATCTCATACAATGCAGTGGACAGTTTGACATCTAAATGAAATGCTGATTTCATAGATAAACAAAGCTCTCTCTCTCTCTTCCTAATGCATCGACCGTCAACATCATTTACCAATCTACTGTGAAGAACCAGCAGTATATCCTGTCGTAAGATACTGGTAACTTTTCGTCTATCCACAGTCGACAAAACAGAAAGAAAACAAGAGTGCACAGATTTAGTGACACCTCTGACAAAACTGAAGCAACAACTATTTATAAGAAGATGAAGTAACCAGCTCTACGGTTTCCGACTGAATCGAAGCGAGCACGCTACTAACCATCAGTCTTCTTCGAAAATCTATCTCATTAATCAGTTTGTTAATCGGATAGCGAATGGTGAGCGTCAATCAATCAGAATCCAATACAGCTGTAGACGCCGACTATTCTAAGCCCTTATTACTGGATGCAATATATGCCATATATAATTGTGTTTCCCTCTAGCTTGTTTTGAAAATACACGTTTTCACTACTATGATTCAGCATTCGTAATCACATTAGGCGACATCTCATAACAGTAAGATGAAAATTTATTTATTAATAATAACAGATGCCAGGAGGAGTAAAGAGGAGCAAGAGAGTGACAGAAACAGAGATTGACCGTATGAATAAATATGAAATATTAACTGTCTATTATTATTATTGTTATTTTTAATAATCACAGATAAACTTCATTATAATTTCATTTTATAATGTGCATTGCACAGATTTTGATTACATGTAGTAGTAGTAGTAGCAGTATGGACTACATCAACTGGATTAAATGCTTCACCTGTTTAAACTGCTTATTTCACTTTCCTCGTTCACTGAATAATGATAATAATAATTCCGTATTCCTTTTTATGCAGTAATTGATTGTGATTGATTATGACTGGAATGTTGATGATGAAGGGAATCAGTGAATTCCGATGTTGACGATTCCATCGTCTCCATTGGTTTCATCATATAAGAATTATGACGAAGTTTCAACAAGACCTATTTTATATAAGAAATAATCAATGAAATTGTAATAATTACTTGATTTAATTAATTAATTAATTAATTAATTGCTGTGATAAATTATGCAGAAGATAATTAATAAAGTATTAAAAGATTATAAAAATGAAATCATAGTTTTGTCCAGTTGTTTACCACCCTACACAAGAAATCAGATTTTCTGCAACTTCGTATCCTTAAAGTGAACTAAATGTGTCACAACGTCTGTTCAGACAACTAGTTTGCTCTACAAGTTAAGGGTTTACTGCCACTTTAAATTTCATGATAATGTAAAGTGGAATCACAATGGAATAATAGAGGACTGTCAAAAATAGAAAACAATTGCAACTAATACAACTTGGATAGGAATTTATGAGTATGTAGTAGCAATATAATATAGTGAATAAAAGAAAACAATTGCAATCATTATAGTTATAGTGGTAATTCAAATATTAGCGCATACTACTAAATGACAGTGGCATTGAAATTAGTTGATTTCTACTTCATGTGAACACTCAGTCACACAGACTGTGAAGTATAGAACTTGGAGAACGGTGCCTTACCTACAGCATTAAGTGCATAGTAAAACAATGAAACTCTTAAATTATTGATATGTGAAGATGCTGACAAAATGTACAGTCTTCTAAACACCTTGAGCAGCAATCTACGAATGTTCGGCATGCGATTCGCTCCCACCAAGTGTAAGATGATGCTACAGAACTGCGCCAACGGGTTAATCTCTGACGAAATCTCAGCACAGACACACAGGACTAGTTTCGCATATGCCAGTTTAAGCCATCTCTGGCTTAGTAGACGTGATATCCGGCTGGTCGGCGACCAAAGGGCATGTGTACTGCTCATCAGTCCGCTCCGTCCTCCTGGCCACTGAGAGTGTAAGACATGAAAAGGTTGACTAGCTGTCTTTGATCATACGTGCCTGAGTTCTATCTCCCGGGTTAAGTGCTAAAATAAGGCGAACAATATTGAGGTAAGGAGTTGGTCGAGTGCAAGGTAAGGAGAGGAAATCAATAGACGAGGCTGTGAGGCTACATCGATTGAGATGGTTAGGACATGTATTACGCATGCATTCCTAGCCACCCATCGCCTTCCTCGACCGATGGGCAATGTTAGCTGACATATGATGGATCAGGTTGGAAAACAGCCAGTGGTGGTCAAACCAAAACATGGCTTTATCGGTCAATGAAATCCACAACAGTTAGTTTGAGACAGCCACATAGGAAGGTGTAGACTTCCTCACTAGTTGGGGTCCTCGGGACGGCTCAAAATAGTTTGCAGTGCCGCAGATGCAACCACTCCTTGTGACTTATAATTTCCAAGGAAACTATATTGTTCTTCGATATTACTATTCTTTATGCCCCATATCTGTGTTCACTGTTTCTATTTTGGATTTCTTTTTACTTTCTTCTCTGGCTTTGTGTGCTGAGTGAACTGTGGCGACTTGAACTGTTGCACATTGGTGCAAAGTTCTATGTCGAAAACAGACAGAGACAGAGAAACGAACAGCTTTATGACTATGAATTACATGTATGCATCTGTTTCACGGTAGAAAATACTTGAAATGAATAGTTGTTTAGTCCTATTACTTTAAGGTCTAACCAAAAAATCAAACGTAAAATGTAGACAGACATCAGTCATAATGTCTTCGTGTTACAAGGCTAATTGCATTATCTTTTGTAGAGGTGTGCACTCATGGGTTTTGGCATTTGACTTTCTGACAGTCAGTCGTGAGTTTGAATGCCGCCCTACTTATTTTACTCAGGTTGATTGTATAGAGAAATGAAGGATTTTTGTGCTAGATTAGCATCGGTTGGTGCGTCACGGCTCCCTGGTTGGGGTCCGCGAGGTAGCTCGAAACGTTATCGGATATGGCCAAGAATCGTGATCAATGGCGAACGTGTTGCAATTTCCTTCTTTCTTCCCTTCCTCATGATAGTTAACGAATACTGTTTGAACTTCTTAAACATGACTGTTCTTTATCCGTTTTCTACATATATTTTTACTTTTAGTCTATGTTGTGTTACTATTATTGTGTGGCGCATCTTTCTTGGTGCCATATTGTACCAAGTTTTTTCTTCTGCGTCTAAATAATAATAATAATAATAATAATAATAATAATAATAATAATAATAATAATAATAAGTAATACATTTTGGTTTAAACCGAATGAAAGTAGTTCGAGACTGTGAAATCACTTAGGATACTCAGACTTTGAAGTGCTACCATACACACACCGATGAAGAATTAATTAAATAACTTGCTAACAAGTGAAAGTAAAATTCTATAACATTATGTTGAGAAACACAAAATATGCCTACTTTTAAATCAGCACAACGATCTCTTTCAGCTTGTATAGCTTCTAATGAACGTGCATTCAATTGTTCTAGACGTGCATTATCTAGTGTAAGTTGATGAAGTGTTGTAGCTAATTCCAATTCACATTCGTCATCGTCGTCATCATCATCTTCTTCATCATCATCATCCTCCTCTTCTCTATCGTTTTGTGTAGTTTGTGTCTGATTTTCATTTTCAGAATTTATCGACTGTTCACAACACTTTTTGTCTACAAGCTGTTTCAAGTCATTTTCATCGTCTTCGCCTTCTTCTGTAAGTCGTGAATAAGCAACTGAATCAGGTGATGAATTTCTATTCAATAGAATTGGCTCTTCAAGTGAATCCTCCTCGTCACCATCTTCACTTCTATCATTATCTTCGTCATCATCATCATCGTTATCATCCTCGTCAGAATGACGATGACCATGATGATGATGATGTTGGCTATCTGAATCACTCGAATCTTCTTCATCAAGTAGACATTTCTCTTTCTGCTTGTTTACACTGTTATATTGACTAGGATTTTTATAACGATTAACACTAACATTAACATCATCATCGTCATCATCATGAAGATTGGGATTAGCAGAGAGATTTGTTAAATTCTCTGCAATTTTTGTCCATGGTTGTGAAATATGCCAGTTACATTTTTTCTCGTCATTGTTTCCTTCGTCATCATCATCTTCTCCACCACTCATCGTGTTATGCTGTGATGATGTTGAAATAATTGGATTTTGATTATACAACCAAGATGGACATAAGTGTTTCGCTGTTACATATGTACGGTATATTCGTCTAGCACGCCGGCCACCAGACTCCAGAAGATGATTGATGCATAACTGTAATTTTTAAAAAAAGAAGAATTAGTAATGAAAATTATAAAAAAAAAGGTTGACTTCAATTGTCAGTGAAATAATTATTCTTTCGTTCAAGCAACTAAAGTCTTCAAATGAATCCAAGCAAGGCGTTAACAAGATACTGAACAGGCACTTTTTTTCGCTGTTGATTTTATTGCAATGCTTAGTCAATTACAAATCACAGAATGCGTGTCTAAATAATACGTTGCATACTTTTAGGCACCATTAGTCTGATTTTAGCTGGCAGAACATATCTTCCCATAATTTCTGGCGTAGACATGATATCCGTCTATCGACCAAAGAAAGTATGCAGTTTGCTCCGTGGAAAGTGGAAGACATGAATAGGCTAGCTGTCTTTGATTATAGGTGCCTGTGGTCTATCACTCGTGTTAAGTGGTATTATAAAGTGAGCAATATTGAAGGTAGGCATCGGTTGAGTACTAGGTAAGGAGGGGGAATCAACCGACGAGACTGCCAAGTTACACCGATTCAGATGGTTAGGATGTGTTAGGCACGCCTAATCATCTCCTTCCTCGACATGGTACCAGTCAATGAAGTCCACAACAATTAGTTTAAGCCAGCCACGTGGGGACGTGTAGACTTCGTGGTTGGGGTCGTCAGGAGACAATTGGTGATATGACCCAAAGTTGTTCTCAGTAGTGCAGATGCATTCGCTCTATGTGATTTATCATATCCGTATAACTATTCTTTTCGCCTCACAATTCTGTTTATTATTTCTCCTTTGAATCTCTCTTTAATCTCTTCTCTTGCTTTGTGTGTTACATTGAGTGTGGCAACTCGAACTGCTGCACATCTGTGCAAAGTTCTACGTTGAAACCAGTCAGTCATCCCTCTTATCTGGAATTTGTTAGCCAGTGAAACTTGCATGCAAGTAAGTAATGCCGTCTAGACTGAGACTTTAACCAAGTCCTTATCGATTCTCTGCCTAAAAATCTAGATAATATCACCATTACGGTATTTGCACAGAAACAAAGGTATCATTGATATGGTTGTAGGTATATGCAACTAATGTTTTGTTGTAGTCATTAAGCATGCCTAAGAACATTCGCTGACAGTTATAACTGAAGGATAAAATACTTATTTATATCCCCAAAGCCAGCTAATAAAGCAAAAGTCTTAATGCAAAATCAAGAAGACTAAAATGAATGAATAAAAAGGCCAGGATTGGGCTGGCCGATTTCCGGACCTGTTATTATTTAGTCTTCATGGATCATGGATAAGTTGCCTCCTAAGCTCACTTTTTCCAACAACAACTTTCGATATCTCTGTAGACTTGTTACAATAATCATGAATATAATCTGAAATATGTTTTGGAGAGTATTGCTGAAGAACTCCCCAGGCGTTCGACTGTGTCTCTACATAGGATTTACTTTTCTATAGGCTTGTTTTCTTACATCTTTGGTAGTTGAGATGTTCGGTTGAACGTTGTTAACTGCACAAGGAGAAAATTGGGAAATGGTTTTCGTCTAAACATTGTGAAAACTGGAATTTTCTATTTCAAAATAGGTCGATTAATCATGCAATTTAAAAGTGATGTCAAGTGTGCTCATGCTTAGCGGTGGAATGCTCGAATGTAGTCTGGGGTTCGATCGCCGGCAGACGCATTCCTTTGCCTCACTAAAGTTGGCAATAAGGTCACTAGGCAGGAAAAGTTGGGGATGAAGCTACTTCATAAAAATAAAACACCACTGCTACCGAAAATTCAAAGCCCTAGCTTGAAGCCAGACGTTGCCCTAGGAGCGTGAGCAATATAAAACAAAATACACCTTAACGACCTAATCCAAAGTTAGATGACGTGTCATAGCCATATCAATCGATGCAGCTTCAAAAACTCATCGACTGACCTTCCCTTGTTACCTATCTTGAGCCTAACACTTTACGCTAATCCTCATTATTACAGATCACCTGACAAGGTGCACTGACGATTCGAATTTAAGTCTATAACTGCAAATCACCTGAAGTTACAGACACGATAATAAATTTAGTTGGAAACACCTAACCGTGACTAATTAGCTGAATATGTATTTCTTCTGAAGGATTTACTTTTGCCGGTTCAGATTTGAACTCACGATAGTTTTCGTAGCAATTCATCCATATTGTTTGTAATTATCACTTTTACACCAGTTAATTGTAAGCACTCAGTAGTTCACATTGTACAAATTGCCTAATCACATTTCAAGTTTAATAAAGAAACGCAAAGAGATATGCATACATTTGTGATTTATACAAAAGGAAAAGAACTAGTCTCACCTGAAGTCGATTAATTTCTGCATTTTCAGATCGAATTCGTGCTTTTAAATCTGCTTGTATAGCAATTAATTCTTGTTTTCGTGCTTTGTAATACATGATCTGACGTTGATTAGGATCCTGTATAAAGGGAGAGGTTGTCGTCACCATTGTAGTATTAGTAGACATAATAGCACTAGGCTCTATGAACTCTGTCAATTTTGGCGCTAAATCAGGTGGTGGTGGCAGAGATGGAGAATCTGTCATTAGATAATGTGAGAGTAAAACGTTGGGAGCTATCGTGCTTATAGAATTTTGATTGAAAACTTCATCATAATCTCTAGGTGAAGCATACGTTTGATGAGTAAACTCTGGATGTACTTCCTGGTCAGTGGCCTAAATAAAAATACAATGAAGCAGAAAATAGAATTTAATTAAATAAAGATATCTGTGATAAGACTAAAACACTCGTCACACAACATTAAACTACTTACTTTAAGCGGTCGAAGGATAAAAGTCAAATGAAGCACACAAAAGTATCATATGAAGTCCTCAGTCTTTGAAAAACCATACAAAACAGGAGAATTGAAACCAAATGACACTACAACACGTAAATATGGTTGCAACAGAGAGGATGATTAAATGAAGATTAGTGAAGATTTCCGAAATTCAAAAGGTGAAAGGAGGGGAATGCATTCGGAATGTAGTGAACAGCATTGTTTGACCTCACTTGGAGTTTAAAATCAGTGACTGTTGTCAAGTAAGGGTCGGTAAAAACTCAGCCACAGTTATTATGTGAAGATTAATAGTACCACCAAACAGCGAAGATTGAAGTATGCGGAGCAAGATGCGAACCAAGGACACATGACACCACACGCTACCAGGTGCTACAATAACAACTTGTACTAGGGATTATATTGAGTCAGTAACAAGTCCATTACCATTGAAGTAACTTCGCTACAAAGTGGTAGTAGTTCATACACTTGGTCACTTCACTCCCTTTCTTTAAACTAGGAGTTAGTACGAACCGGTATTGTAGCATCCCTTACATTTTACAAATTAGAAACGCAGGCCTAAACATTCTCAGAATTCGACTCACATGTTTGGAAGACACCATCATCTCTTAGTGATGTTGCACGAACCCCATTTAGTACTTATATATATATATATATATATATATATATATAAAACTCAAACCGTTCCTTCTACATAATCGGATTGTTACTGATTTACATCAGTTCAATATGACTGCTTAAAATATACGTACTCCAGGCAACTTATTATTATATTATTATTGTTTCCTTTAATTCCTACAGGAACATAGGGCTTCAGCCGCGCGTCTCCATTGCGTTCGGTTCTCTGCTAGAGTCTTCACCTGGCTCCAAGTCTGCCCACACGTTCTCATCTCCTCTTCACATGACCTCCTCCAGGTCACCCTTGCACTGATGACCAACTCGCCGCTTCCCTTTCGGGTTCCACTCAAGGGGTTGTCTAGTGATGTCACTTGATGGTTTCCTCAGAGTATGGCCAATCTATCTCCATTTCTTCCTGCCTATTTGTTTCACAATCGGTTCCTGCTGGGTTGGTTCGCTCCCAGAGATCTCTGTTGCTGATCTTTTCTGGCCGGCCATCTGATCTTGAGTATTGAGAGAAGACAACTGTTAATGAAGGTCTGTAGTTTGTTTGAGATGCTCTTTATGACGCGCTGGCCAAGTCTCTGATCCGTATAGTAGCACTGACTTCACATTGGAGTTGAAAATCCGGATCTTATTTTTGATGCTGAGTGCTGCTGACCTCCACACAGACTTGAGAGTAGTGGAAGCTTGTCTTGCTTTTCCGATTCTTGCTTTGATATCCTCATCAGTTCCGCCTGTAGTTGAAACGATGCTTCCCAGATCGGTAGGTAAAGGAGGTTGTTTCTTTCAGGTTCCTCCCATTTATGCTGATTGTTGTCTGTTGTTGTTGTTGCTGTTGATAGTGTTGCCCAGGAATCTTCATCACCTCTGTTTTATCTATGTTCACCTGAAGTCCTATCTTCTCTGGATGCTTCTTCTGCCAACTTGTTGCTTTTCGCTTGCATATCTTCCAGTTTGTGGGAAATCAGACATATATCATCGGCGAAGTCCATATCCTCCAAGTTTATTTTTGGGTGCATTTTATGCCTGTTTCCTCATTGCCCGCTGTTTGTCGCATTATCCAATCTACTGCAATCAAGAAAATCATTGGCGATAGTAGGCAGCCAGCTTGTCTTACTCCTGTCCTCATTTCGAAGGGTTCCGTAAGTTTCCCGTTGTGGATTACTTGGCATGCAGCATTGTCATACAGCTGTTGGATGAGATGTATAATTGTCGGTGGCACACCGCAGTAGCGAAGTAGTTGCCAAATCACCTATCGATCGACGCTGTCTGCTGACGGCCTTTTCAAAGTCGATGAAGTTGAAATAGAGAGGTGACTGCCATTCCAAGCTTTGTCCGTCCAATGATGATCCGTTATGTGGCGATCTGATCAATGCCTGACTTGTTCTCCTGAATCCAGCCTGTTCCGGTCGAAGTTTTTCATCCAGGTGGGCATGTTTGATTCTCTCCCAGATGATGCGGCTTAGTATTTTGCTTGGGATGGACAGGAGCATAATTCCGCGCCAGTTCTTGCATTGACTTAGGTCTCCTTTCTTTGGTAGTTTGAATAAGTATCCTTTCTTCCAATCCTAAGGTACTTTGCCTTCTTTCCACACCTTCTCCAGTAGTGGCGTCATCAAGTCCGCTGTTGTCTCTGGGTCCATTTTAATGCTTCTGCTGGGATTCCATCTGGTCCTGCTGCTTTTCCAGCTTTTAGCATCTTGATTGCCTTCAGGACTTCTGATTTCGTCGGGGGGTTGGTGTTCACTGGTAGCTCTGTCTCCGTTGTTGGTATTGTTGGGCGCGTTGTCGGTGGTGGTCGATTTAGGAGTCTTTTGCAGTGTTCAGCCCAGTGTTTCCTTTGCTCCACTACTTTGGTGAGTGACTTTCCATCGGCATCCTTAACCGGCTTAATTTGTGTCAAACTTTTCCCCGATAGGTACCTAGTTGTTTGGTAGAGTGTAGCGAGGTCTCCTTTGCCTGCAGCTTGTTCTGCCTCACTTGCCATGGCTTCATAATATTTTCTTTTGTCTTCCCTGGCACTCTTCTTTACTCTTTTGTTCAGTGTCTTGTAGCTTGCATTCAAATCCTGTTTTTGTTGCTCGTCGGTGCACTGGATAATCTTCTGTTTCACCATTCTTCTCTCTTCTATCAGTCTCCAAGTGTCCGTAGTGAGCCACTGTTTGTCCTGTCTCTTCTTTCTGTCTAGAACTTCCATGCAAGTTTGACTTAGGTAAGTTAACTTAGTTAAATTAGGTAAGACTTTACTATTCCCTTCCTAAAAGCGTAGGGGATTGAGGGACGGTGGCACAGTGGTTAGGACTCTCGCCGACCATGCACGTGATCTGGGGTTCGATCCCCTGCCGACGCACACCCGATATCTATGGTCGGCCTGCAAAATTTGGGCTACCGATATCCATGGTGAAAATTCCATACTTGTACTGAAAATACGGTGTGGCATCAAGCTGCAATAAAAAGTAAAAAATAAAATAAAAATATTCGCCAATCACCCACGTTGCTCGCGATTCAATCACCAGAAAAGGGCTGTCCTAAGCCTTGCTTGGCAAGTAGTAAGCCCAGTAAACAGGGAAGATTGAATGTGAGACTGGCACCATCACCCCGTAAAAAGTAAACACCGCTGCACGTGAAACATCAAAGGTTAAGCTTGAAGCCCTGTAATGTACTCGGAATACAAAGGAATAAGAAATAATTTCTAAAGCACTTCTGAAATCAAGCCATCAAATTTTACCGCTTTACCTCGCTTGGGATTTATAAATAGCTTGCAACCTGGGCTAGAGTTGTAGTACTGGTGTTTATATTCCATCTAGAGTGGAACTGTATGCTGGGTATCTCTATAAGCCATGTAAACCAATCATCTAGGTGTTCGATTCAACTTTTCAACTGTCTCATTTGGGGATTTATCAAAGTTTTCAAGGACTGACTTCTCTAATGAACCTAAATACTTGACGGGTAACATCAACTGCTGAGACTTGTTATTTCTACTTCTTTCAGCCAAGACTTCTCACAGGAGGTACGATAGCTTTTAGTCAGTTTACGTTAAAGCAGCTTCTATTCCTCATCATCTTGGTTGTTCTCCATGAGTCAGTGTCTTCGTTTTGATCACTTTGAACAAAATTACAGAAATCCAAAGGCATTCAGTAACTTAAATGAAATTTTCTTTCATTATTTGAAGTAGCAGACTATGCATGGGACGGAGAACACAAAAACACGTTGGACCAAAAAGAAGACTCTAGAAGATCTAGATTTCGCGGACAATTCATGTCTAGTGTCACATAAATTCGAATACTCACAAGCGAAAAACAATAAGTTGACAGGAAAAGCAGAGAAGACAGGACTACCAGTGAGCATAGAGACAACAGAAGAGATGAAGATAATCAACCAGCAACAGCCAGCACCAATCACCATCAACGGAAAAAATTTGGAGGAAGTCACTTTCTGCACTCATAGAAGAAGCATCCTCTCAACTACAGGCAACATAATGGATAAGGATGTACAAACCAGAATCAGAAGGACTAAACAGACCGTCATCACTCGAAAATCAATTTGGAAATCTACCTCATTCAGCACAAAGAAAAAAATTCAGTTCTTTTATGTAGGTCACTAAAAGCATTTCCAACAGGTTGTAGACTTTTATCAACAGCTGCTGCCGCTCCATACTGAAAATTTTTTTTTCCTTCACGTTCCGCAGTGGAACATAGGGCTTCAAGCTAGTGGCTTGAAATTTCTGTAGCAGTGTTTATTTTACTGGATGGGGTTGCTAGCCTCATGCCCAACCTTTCCTCTTCACCAGCATTATTTCTGGCTTAGCGAGGTAAAGGAGTGCGTCAGCCGGGGATCGAACCCCGGACCATGTGCATGGTCGGCGAGCGTCCTAACCGCTATGCCACTGACGCACCCATACTGAAAATGGCCAGGAAGAATTAGCAGCAAGAAACTCTGGGAACGAACCAATCAAGAACTTGTCACTCAACAAATGTGCAGAAGAAAAAGGAGATGGATCAGACACACGCTAAGGAGATCGTTGGCTGAGATAGTGCTCCAGTGGAACCATAATAGGAAACAACGAGTGGCTCGTCCGGGAGTAACACTGTGGAGATCGTGTGAGCAGAAGATGAGATGTTATGGGCAACCATGCAGCCCGCTTCAAAGGAATGTAGGGAACAGAGTGAAATGGAGCCTATTGTTCCGCTCGGAACCCAAGGGAACAGTAATAATAATAATATTCCCAATCGCTTCTACAGAAGACTGGGTATAATATGCGTAATATACATGCAAAACTGATAAAAAGACTAAAATTTCTATGATTATGAGTAAATATTAGAAATATGATTCACCTGAATATCTGAATCTTTCTGCTGAGTTTCAGAAGCTGCAGCACATGATGTCAAGTTTTCATCAAATTGATTTTCATTATTATTATGCGGTAACTGTTCACTAGGAGGAGGAATAGTAGCAACACTGGCTGGCGCATTAGTATCATGAACTGACATGACAGTATTATTTAGAGATTCATTATTATTTTGACTTTTACTAGTACCACTTTTAAAATCCAAAGAAGCATTATTAGTTTCTGAGAGATTTTCCATACACACATTGGTTTCATCTTGTTGATTTATTGCTGTTGACGAGGATGTGGGTTTTGCTTCTTTTAACAGTGTCATATTATCATTCTCTGATGAAGCAGGTTTCTGTGATGAGTAGACTATTTTACCTTCATCACCGTTACCCGTATTGTTGCTTACTGTTGTTGAACAATTTAATTCATCATTTGTATTTGTTACTGCTGATGCTGTTGCCGTCGTCGTCGTCGTAGTCGTTATTGATGGTTCAATTGTCAATTTTCTGAAAATACAGCATAATATCATTTGATTTTGAGTTGATCCACATTTAAAAGAATAACATTATAACTAAAGAATACCATATTAATTCCGCCAAGAAAAGGAAAACGTCTTCGCGTGAATTTTTTAGAAACCATATTACCACTCAATATATATATATGAATTCCATTTATATTTATTCAGTGAATGTAAATACGCAGAAAAAATATCGACAAAAACAAACAAAAGTCCAGAAAAATAATGATTGTTTGTTCTTTGGAAAACTTTTACACTGTATATTATACTTCTTTAGCGTTAGAGACATAGCATTAAATGCTTGAATTAGATTTTGTAAGAATTGATAAACATCATTTCATTGTATGGGTGACATTCAATCTATCAAGTGCCACCTACCATAAATGGTTACCAGGAGAGCTAGGAAAGGTTCAAAAAGAGTTAATACCCCATATAATCTAAAAGACTTTTTCAATCTCCTCAAATAGGGATGCACTTAGAATCAACTCAAGACATCGAATGATATAAAAAATCTTTATTTACAAGCGCATTCCTCATCTGGAAACTACAGCTTACTACTGAGGGGACACGAAGTATCCCCTCTCTTCTTCCAAAGAGGTTCAGTTCAAATTCAACAGAGTGGTTTAAAGAAACAAGTAAACGCAGTGATAATGAGAATTTCATTGAGTCCATTGGTGTCTAATATCTTCTTTATGCACAACCTAAGACGCATCACAATTAATTTATCCAGGCACTCATGCGACACACATTTAGTGTATGATGACGCTCAATGAGCCTACATATTGACATCAAGGCTCAGTGTTGTTCATCGACAAGTAGAGAATCAACTAAGCTTTCTCAACTTATGCATGAAAAGAAAGCTAACATAATAGAAAGGGGTGGCTAATATCTAAACTTCAGCATATATTTTTAGTTGTGAGCTAACAGTGAGATTCACCCCTTCCTGTCAATCGTCTTAGTAATCTAAACTATATAAGCATAATACAGTATACTTTTCTCACCTTAACGTTAGATTGAGTACTTCTTCTTGATCCAGTTCTGAGACTGAGGGTATAATTAATGGAGCACCAGACATGTATAATACCGACGGTGAATGACAGGTTGTTGTTGATGATTGCGACGGAAGTGGAGATATTGATGCTCCTTGTACTGCTGTTGCCACTGCTGTCCCTATCATCTCCGAATTTGTAATTGTCGTCAAAGATGATTGTGATTGTTGTTGCTGTTCACTCAATTTTTCATGTTGTTTCAATTTACGCTTAAGCATTGTTATTTGACGTTGTACTTCCCATAATTCATCTGAATAAGGGATCTTTTTATCTGTTAACTGATGTAGATGATCAGTATTATGATGACGATGACTGTGATGGTGATGATGACTTTTTGACGACTTATCACTTCCAGTTATTCTATATACGTAAAAATATTTGGATATATACAATATTATATGTATATATATATATATATATGCAAGTGTGTTATATCAGCAAACAGACAAACACTACAAGATATAATTAAGAATAAATTGTTAATTGATAGAAATAATACAAAAACATAGAATGAGAACAGTTTCATTGGCCTACTTAGTCAAGATATAAAGGTATAAAGCCTACAGTCTTAAGCAGATATGTGTCCTAGAGATTTACAAGAAACACTGCCTAATTAGTTGGAATTTATAAATATATAAATACCACGTCACATATACAAACAATCTACAAATATATAAAGAATGACATAAGTTTACAAAATAAGTAAGTGAAAAAGATTTATATTACAAATTAAAACATGATAATCACAATTAGTTTAAGACTTCCAGTGTACTGAGCACTAACTGAATGAAATTGGCTAAGTTATCAATGGAAATACTATGCACTTCCAGTTGGTTATAGTACGGAAGTTTCGAAAATGACTTCAGATGTTACTTGTTTGAATGTGGGCTGATACTGGACAACAGTACGCGCAGATTGGGATGGATGGTCGGTTGGATGTGCCTGTGAATATTGTTCTATTGGCGAGTGAGAAATACTACAACCAGCTACGACTAGCTGGCGAGTCTCAAATAAACAGAGACGCATCTTCTGGATTCTATCATCAATCAAATAATATATAACAGTAAAGCTGACAGGATGAAATCTACGTCCACAGTCTACTTTGTTAAACTCCTGACAACACGTTGTAGTATGCCTATAGTATCCTGTCTTATCTTCAAGCTTAAATTGGTCAACCCCAAACAGCAATTAAATTGAAAGAAAGTAATAAAAAAGTGAAAAAATTGAAAACGTGCTCAATATGATACAAATGGATCATACACTGGATTATGGATGAGAATTAAACAGCTGTCAAGTTCACCCTGATTTTTTAGTATCCCTGTGGTTACTTATACGATTGTTACTTTTACAACATCCGTAAATTATTGTTGTTTACTGGTCGAACAGAATCAGAAAGACTACTTCCGTCTGCATTAAACCAATCGCAGACATTTTATTCCAGATAAATTGAAGGAATACCTTTATTTCAAGAGTGACCAAATAAAGGAGTGAAAAACTGAATTGTTGTTTTGCTGCATGTAGCCAAAGACAAGATTTATAAGCCTACATAGGAGAATAAAGTAAGAACTGAATGTATAAATTATAACTTATATTAGAAAGCAGAAGAAACAAGATAGAAATACCTTCTGCGTTGACCAGATGTGGAATTATCTTTCAATTGTGATAATCCACTGGATGTATCTGAATGTGCATCGATCGTTGTACACTGGGCTATTGCTAAATGCAATCTATCCAATTGTGTCTGTTGTTTAATTATCTCTTGTCTTATAGCCTCTGGATCAGTCAGCGCTTTACGTCGTTTTATTTCAGTGATAATATGTTGTACCTATAAATTGAAGAAATAAATACATAAGTATAACAAATACACTGAAAAATCCAGTTAATGTAGTTTGTTTGTCCAAAAAGATGATAATTGCTTCAATACATCCATCATCACTTTGTTAACCTTGAAGATTACAACAACTGCATTCCTCGATGATGGATGGATGGATGGATGGATCAAATGCATCTTCACCGAGACAATATGAAACAATTTGAAATACTATATACGCATTTTCCCATTATATGCTTGCGAAACAAGAACAGTAAAATTGAAGGCGTTGATGTCGTTATTATGATTATTTTTGAGTGTGCTCAAACGACTTTGTGAAAAAAATTGATGGTAAGTATAAAATACATGACATTTGATGACCTTTTAAACATTCACCACCAATTGATGTAGTTAAGACATATGTTATGCATACACGACTTTGTCTCATTGTTAGATGCAGTTGGTTCAATTTGTAAGAATAGAAATATGGCGCAACTCCAAGGCGTTAGAGGCTGATAATGCCAGTGAAGCAAAGGGAATATGGTTAAAGTCAGCAAAATAACAGAAATGATGTCAATGGACGTGAACATTGAACGTTTGTTTATTGGAACTGGCAGCCATTGGTGGGCAACTCGAAGGCGCGAATGGTTCGATCGTGTGCAAGTTGGACAAGGGCGGAACGAATACGAATAAAAGTACTTTATAACTTCATTTGTACTTAACATTTGTTTGTAGACTTTGTAGTTGTCTTCACTTTAATTGCCAAACAATATAATTTCGTTCAAGGAATACTGGTGTTTTGGATTTAAAGTTGAAAGAAATACATAGTATTTATCGGTTCAAATCGCCTACGTCTTCATTACAATAGGAACTTAGGGCTAAGTTCCTTGACAAATGAACACTTGAAAATTTCTCATCAAATGCTTCGCAGTCAGCCTAGATAGAGCAAATGAATAGGTAGTTTACCTCTGTCAAAACCATACAACTCTTGGTATCATACAAGTTTAGTCAGTTGATGTTTTTTATACTTTGCCTTCTGTCCTGTAGAACTGATTTACATAAAAAGTGTATCTGTTCAAGCTATCAACATTTGTCAGCAGCAGGTTTAAAAGAGAAGGACAAACATAGTTATTTTAAAAAAGAGAAACATGAATGATGTAAGGATATTAGGGAAAACTTTTCAGAACACGAAAGACAATAAATTTTGTAAATATCTGCATCATAATAAAGAGACATATTGGTTTCCAAATTCGAGTTGGTCTGGAATTTCACCACGACGCAGAGATGAACATAACCAGTTGGCGGCATCTGGCTCAAAGGGAGAGCAAATCATGGCGATTAATAGGTAAATGATTTGATACTATTCATATCGCTTTTTGAATGAGGAGACTAAAAAGCTTGTTGATCATGTAAAAGGAATACAAAAACTTGCTTACTATTATCAGATTTCCAGCAAACTGCATTATCTGACAACAGAATAAACTATCATCCATAAAATACTTGAACTCAAGGATACTTCCAAAATTAGATTTCCAAAAACTACTGTCAAATGAAGTGCATGAATAAAGTAATGATTACTCTGAGGAATGTAGGTTCGTTTTCTCAAGGCAAAGAATCCATCCAAGTCAAGGATTTGTTACTGAATGACTTTCTAGCATTTAAAGCTTTCCTGGTTTACACAAACACTGACAAAAAATTTTTTAAATACTGATAGGTAATATATTAGTCATTGTGGTTCACTGGTAGAGTACTCGTCAACTAATCCTCGCTAATAAACGGTTAGACACCCGGTAAAGAGGAAAGGTTGAGCGTGAGTTTATCAACCCCACTGCTACTGGGATTTCAAAGTTCAAAGCTTGAAGCCTTTATATATTATATTGCATTCAGAAAACAAAAGAACGAAATTTTAAAAAAAACCAGTGGTTGTAACATATCTACAGTAAATATGCATAATGATAGTGATTATAGGCGAACACACAAACAAAAAAAACTCACATCACGTAAGAGATATTCTTTACCAGGACTCGTCTCACCCAATTTTATTTCTTCGCATAAATGAGCTAATAGAGATTCTTGTTTCTTCAATTCTACATCCAATTCTTCATTGGAATCGGGTAATTCTAGTCCATGGATTAATTTCAACGGAGGTATATACGGTCTTAATAAGTACACAGGATGAGGAAACAACCAATGCCAAGTGCTAGGATCAATATTTGACTTATCAGGATTAAATGCTGGCAGCTTTGGATCTAATTTACATAGATCCAAGGAGAAATCTTCAGTTTGTTAGTTGAAAAAAGGCATTGCAAAAAAAGAAGAAGAATCGGTCAAGCAACATGAGAAGAAAAAGAATAGTAAACTTTATTAAGAACAGGTAATTTAGAGAATATTCAAAGTAAAATTATTAAAATCAAGAATTTATCATTTCGCAAAAAAGACAACTAGTGCTCACTTAAAAACACTGAAATACATGTTAATGCGTTTGGTTCAATACTCTGACAGTATTGAAACATTCAGATACTGTTGTATTCAGGTGATGAGTGAAAAACACACGTCTTCAATCATATAACACATTAGGTTGTTTGTTCTGTTTGTATAGTTTTGATTGAAAGTTGGTTTCATCTCGAATTGACATCAGTTAACGACCTCTTTAAAAACCTACAAGTACAGTATAGTTGTCTTGTCCTACTTCGAGACTCTTTAGCTAGGTGAATTCACGAAGCCGTTACAACATGATAGTTAGCATTTGACAATTGAGTTAAAATCCAAAGACACATGGCTGCAAAGTTTGGAAATTACAATACAAAGTCGGAATAAATTTGTTGGATTTATAAGGATCTTATTTATCCACGACAGATCTCGTTGATTTACAACCGTTTTTTTTTCAGATTATATCTCCTCGTAGGGAAATCGTGTTTGATGTGACATAGGCTCTTCAAGGTTTAGTAGACAAACATCTGGAAAGGAAGTGTATGATATCTAAATACAAAATGTGCCGAACCCAAAAAGTTCTTATCTCTTAGTAGTACATACTTTGTCTAAAATCTACACATTTAGTGTTTATCTCTGCACTATAATTTTAATTACCAATTCATTACGAGTTAGCAGAATTATACTGGTGATATTACTGAAATTCGTTCTGAATAGGCTTGTGATAAAAATTTTTGAAAAGTAAAGATCAGAGAAACACAACTATTTTAGGAAAATAAACTTCACAGGGAACATTTAGTATTGGTGGACGACAACGCCCAGTCACTAAGCTGATTCAGAGTTTGCATCTTAGGAGAAACGAAGTTTTTAATTATTACACTTCGCATCCAACTTGTCAAATACTACTTAAGTGAACAATTTTCTATAACACATTCAAGGAAGTGTTCTGGAGACGTGACGCAATGGCGTTAGCATTCTAATTCCAGTCAACTGGTGCAGAGTTCGAATCCGACTCCAACAAATTCAATTGGGTTAACTAAGCAGTGTTATCAAACATCACGTAATAAGTGTTTGAGTTCCAATTAACAAATCAATCTTTTACTTTTGCATTATTTTTCAGTAGTACGATACCGAAGAAATAATCCTGCTGATAAGACCAAGTAACCATTATGCTAGAAGTCATTCTTCCAATATTCATAATTCATAATGGGGAAGATTTGCAGCTCAGGTGAAAGAATTTGATTTAGTTGTGTTCCCTGAGCTGGTTGATTTAATTGAGAAGCTTCCGTTGTCCTTCGAGACATCTCTATGACAAGAAAGTTCAAATCCCAAGTCAAGGGATTCGATAAATAGAGATGTAAATTAACAACCATTCACGAAAATGCTTGCCAGAAGATACAACTGCAACGACAGAAAACAAGGGCCAGGTAACAGACCGTTTATTGAGAAAATCAACAGATATTTATAGATTTTTATGTACATTATTACTCGTTATTGTTAGCAGAGAAGCAGGGTCTTCTTATTGGTTGTTTTCCTGCTGAAGGTAATTCTGTCATCTCTTTGTCGCCGTTTCTTAAACAGTCCGTTGATATATATATATATATATATATATATATATATATATATATCCGCTAATCGTAACCACCCAAGCTAAGTCTGCTGTCATTGGTTGTTGAGTTAGTCTTTGTTCTGGATTTTTTCTCATGACCAAGATTTGGGACGTAAATTGCTGTCTAACAATTTCGGCTAGCAGACAGCTGTCACCACACAATTATATGATTCACTGAGAATTCAAATAAATTCAATTTTATACAAAAACCTGCACTGAAGAAGTTATCCAGAAAGACGAAGACAATTACATAATTAAATCAATCAGCTCAGGGAACACAATTCAATCAAAAACATTCATAATCCATCCAAAAGAAGTCCTCTTCATTACTTTCACATCAGAAAAGGAGGATAAATCGACAAAATGAAAAGAAAGTCAGTTTAGGGAGTTCATACCGCACAGTGAGGAACCTGTGATTCGGAATTAATAACGCATCTAGACTTTAGAAAGTGAAGAAAACAAGTATCCAAGGTCCCCCTACCAGCGCCACTACCGAGCACAGAAACATGTCTCCAGGTGAAGTTTTGTAGTTTAGGTCCCCTAAGAAACAGATAGCAATCTTATAACATTTAGATAGTATTACAGTTTTCCAATCCTTAGTAATAAAATTTATAATGAAAATTTGTTAAAATCAAGTGACCTACGACAGAATTCTCATTAGCCAGGCCATGAGTCGTATCTATACTACGTGAGGTTTGATAATAATACCTAATTGACTGAGCTGAAGTGGATGGAAGGGGATTCGAACCCGTAAAGCACTGGCTGGAAGTCGAGTGTTTAAGCCAATGAGCCAAATCTCAACATGTCATGGAAATTTTAAAAAAAAGAAAACAAATAATAAACAGAATACTAGTAGATATAAGTGGGAAAATTATCAGTAAAAAATAAAAAAGGTTAAGAAAACTTTTATTTAAAAAAAGAGAACATACCTTTCGGTGGCGTAGGATTCAACAAAATCGACAATAGACGATGACTAATTCCCAGACACGGTGACAGGACAATAATGATGTTGGCTAATGTCATACGGTTTTCACCAGCTCTATCAATAATATGCATCATATGCTGTATAATCCAAGCTAGTAAATATCGATTGGACACCGGCAATTCTTGATGTACTAAAGCAGCCAAATTGTGATAGAATTGTACAGTGTCTGTTGATAAGGATTCAATAACATTACTCAAGCGTTTTGTCAAAATTGACTCGGGCAGACTACGTAAAAATTGTTTGATAACACTGGCAATAACTGCGGGATCATGTGGTAGAGTTGACTGTGGATAAATTGATGTTGCAGCATTGGCAGCAAGCAACGATGAAGTCGGTAAAAGATGTTTCGCAGGTGAATCAGTACTGGAGATGCCGACACCAGCATTACTACTGCAGCTACCAACACCTGCCGTTGGATTTTTAACACTGAAAGCACTGGAAATGAAACTGGCCGACGTTGGTGTAACTACACCACGATTTTCTGAAATTTTGGGAGACAGTATTGAATTGAATTCCTTAGCTCCTGTATAAGCTAGAATAAAGGTGGTGAAAGATGGATTTATATTTAGGTGATAAATATGCAAGTTAACATTATTAATAGCTTGAGAAATTTCTTTTGAAGTAAAGATAACAAACATTAAAACTGAAAAACAAACTTCCATCAACCAAATTCGAAGCTTGTAGAGCAATACAATTATCACAACATTGCAAAGAAATTAGCAAAATATGTTGGAACATATGATATTCTGAATAATTACGGCCTTATTTATTAGAATCAAAAACGTATGAGTGTTAAAGGCGATAATAATTCATCATTTTAACCAGGAGTATGTGTGCAGAAAAAGTTTATTTTAAACATATTGTATGGTGATATTAAATAAATAAGAAAAAAAGAAAATCACAAGGTCAGAGTCCTGTCAACTCCTCATAAATAGGTATGAACAACTAAATTTTTTTACTTCATGAATGCGTAGTAGAACATAGAGCCTCAAAACTGGAAAGAGCTTCTTCCACTGCAATCGATGAAGATTCACAAGCACATTAAATAATATGCTTTCTTTACTCATTGATTTCCACATTTATCATACCAATGAGTATATTACCGAAGACCTGTATCCCCTCAATGTGTTCCACCGGTGATGCTCATACACAGGGTGAACTAGGACAAAACAAACTGTTTTGAGGTACATCTGCCATTTTTAACAAGCACATGGTGAATAAAACGGAAAAGACTAGTAGTTTAGGTGAATAATATTGGTGTAGCTGTGTTCTCTGAGCTGGACGACGTATGTACTTGAATATTTCTTTCGTACTGAAGAAGACAATTTCACGAACTAGACAGAACTAGGTTATAGACACCTACTTGATACTTATAATGTTAATCTTAAATTTAGAATAAAAACCAAACAAGGTTATAAAATTTTTTATAAAATCTTACACTTAGTAGTAATTATTGACGTCTCAATGAATACTAATAATCCAGACATAACCATATATAAATATAAAAATGAGGTGATTCCATATTAGTTTGTGTATTAGATATATCACACAGTGAAACAGTATTATTTACTGGATGATGTTTCGAACAAAAATTATTGTTCATAATCATATCAATTGTAATCACACGACTTCGAAACTTGAGTTTTATGGTCTTCTTTCTTCTCTCCTATTTGTCGTCATTGGGGTAGTAGAATTTTCCAGATGTCCAACTGGACAAGTGTTGAATCATTCCTATTACACGTATTTGCAGTTGATTCGATAAACAAAGCTTCTGTTATCAATCTCTCCCTCCACGCTGTGACATTAAATTTTAAAACTGTCATCCTATCCCATCCTATTGTATGTCTGCGTGTAACTGTATGTAGTGCTATGACTGAACTATACCCTAGATTCCATATTAGTTTGTTTATTAGATATATCACACAGTGAAACAGTATTATTTACTGGATGACGTTTCGAACAAAATTTATTGTTCATAATCATATCAATTGATTTTTTATGTTCGGCTAGTCTGACTACCCCTGTTCTACTAATTTGACTGATGTATTTGACCTGACAATCATTCCAGCAGGGTATGAGATAAACTGAATTGTTTTGTTTTAAAGGCTCCACAGTATCCTTTAACCGACAAAGCTTGTTTCTAATTGAGTTTGTGCGTTTGAATGCCGTTTTTATTCCTGCCTTGTTGAGAATTCTGCGTAAGGCTTCCGAGGTTCCTTCCTTGTATGGAATTACTACTGATGATTTAGATTCCTTATTGTTGGTGTTGTCTTGCGCATATTTGATATGCATGTCGTCATTATTATTATTATTATTATCAGTATCACTACTAACATTATTTATTTTATTTTTACATTTCCTACATAAAAACCTAGCAAAATCTAGATTGGTTGACCCAAATAAATGAATATTGTGCAGATAGACTATCCAGCTCAGACAACACAACTACATCAAAAGTTAGTCCTCTTGGACGAGTAATTAAATTCAATATAAGCGAAACATAACTCTGATAAAATCCTTACGAAATCATTTTACTAATCAGCTGAGTCAAAAAGGAATGTTTACGTAACACAAAATTTCGTTTTTGTTGTACAAATAGTTAAGTTATTTAAACATATATATATATATATATATATATATATATATATATATATATATATATATATATGCATATGTACAGGACTGGACTACGTCAACTCCTAGCTTAGTGATAGGGAGTGAAGTGATAGAACATGTTGACCACTTCACCTATTTCGGAAGTTGTATCAGCACCAACGGATTGATTGGTGACGAAATCTTAGCACGGATCCAAAAAGCTCGGGCTGCTTTCGCTAACTTACACCATCTCTGGCGTAGGCGGGACATCCGGCTATCAACCAAGGGACGTGTGTACTGCTCAGCAGTTCTCTCCGTCCTTCTCTATGGTTCTGAAACATGGCCAATACGAGTTGAAGACATGAAAAGGCTGACTGTTTTTGATCATAGATGTCTACGATCTCTTTCTCACGTTAGGTGGTATAATAACGTAAGTAATGTTGAAGTTAGGCGTAGAGTGTTGGGCAAAGAGGGAAAATCAGTCGAAGAGGCTATAAATTTACATAGATTGAGATGGCTAGGTCACATGCTGTGCATGCCTAACCATCACCTCCCCCAACCCGACGGGCATTACTAGCTGATATAGGTGCCGGTTGGAAAAGAGTAAGTGGTGGCCAAACAAAAACATGGCCTCATCAATCCATGAAATCCTTGACAGTTAAACTGAGTCAGGTAGGGAGATGCAGGCTTCCGGGTTGGGACCCTCGGGACTCTAAGAATCAATGGCTGTAGACAATAGGTGACATGGCTCAAAATCGTTGTCAATGGCGCAGATGTATTCAGTCTCTGTAATATTTCATTTCCTTTCTACCATTAGTCATTCTGTTTCATTCACTCTTATACTTGTCAAAACTCTATTGATTCTCTTCACTCATCTTCTTGTCTACCTTTGTGTGCTATTTGGAACGTGGCAACTCGAACTGCTGCACTTCGGTTCCGAGTTCTATGTTGAATCCAGCCAGCCAGCCAGCCATATATATATGTATATATACAAAATATTTGAATAAACTAACATGAACTTAAATGTCGTGTTTTGCCTTTGAAATTGATATCTGTGGTACCGATTAGAAAGTGACTAGAACGATGTTTTGTGAATACGTCTTGATTATGATAAAACGTCGCAGAGGTTGGTGGGATATCTGGAAATTCTTGACCATTATCAATAGAAGAAATAACTGCTTGGACTTGCGAATGAACGCCAGGTACCTAAATACAATAAAGAAAAGAAAATTTAACTTTAAAAACAAATAGTGATAAAATTATAAATTATTAGACTAGAACAATATCATATTGAAAATAACCAAAACTAGATGAAATGCTGAGCAAAATATTATTGGTAGGGTTTTTAAACAAATAAAACGGACAGTTTTTATCAGAAATTTTTCAAATATAACAGTTGGGTAAGCAAAAATGTTTCTTTTGTGTGAAAATATTGCGGTGAACTGCTAAATTACTTACAGAAAAATACATATGAATTTAGATAAAGCAATAAGAAGACGTAATTTGTCTGAATCGTGTTATGTATTTGCGCAATACATTTCGAACAATCTAATCACACACGGACTTGTCATAAGAATATATATGAAATTAATAAAGAGGTATGAGGTGAGAAAATAGACTTAGGTCAAGAGCAAATTCCTAAATGGCTCCAGAAATTAATGTAATCTTCAGAACCCATTAATGGCGAGAACAGGAGACCTAGCTCCTCTATCGCGAAACATATTATAGTGACAGGAAGTAAAATTGACGTTAGCAGATCTTTTAAACCTATCTATAAAACGTGTTTGGGGCGTATCATAAAGTTTGTGGAAGCCCTAGCAATTAGAAAGTTTAAACCACTTTTATGCGTTCAAAAACAATTCATCATCACACTAAACCTTCCTTGGGGAATTTTGTTTCGATACCATAGCAGATGTACTATTGTAACAACATAAGACAAAGGCCAGGCAACAGCTCGTTCATTAAGGAAATCAAAGCATATTTATATATTTTCATGGGCAACTCTAAACAAAAGGAACCCAAAACAAGACGACCTACGAAAGCACAAATGACCTTGTCAAGGATCAGTCAGAAGGCTAAAAAAAGGACATTAGTCGTCTCAGGCAGCAGTAAGCGCTAAATAATAGGCGATAATACACATGCCCTGCTCTTAGGGGTCACATCAATATGTCCTTTCTGGAGGCTGGTATCATATATCCCCGAAACCTATAGCAGGAAAGTCACCTGATCGGTAGCTCAAGGTCATTTGTGCGTTCGTAGGTCGTCTCGTTTTCGGTTACTACTGTTTACAGTTGCCTTTTCATGTACATCACTATGGTTATTTAAGCAAACAAACACGGTCTTCCGATTGGTTGTTTCTCACGTAAAGTTAATCTTTCATCTACTTGTGACTGTTTCTTGAATGTCAAATCCTCTATATGTTAACTGCATCCACCTACGCAAAGTATGCTGTGGTCGGTTTTGAATCAATCTTTGTTCACATTTTCTCACGACAAATCTTGAGAACTTAGATATTGACGTAAATTACTGTCTACCAATTTGGCTACTAGACAGATCTCACCACATTATTACCTCTGCTATTTGGTATAGTGGTCTTCATTATTATTTGACCTTCAATATGTAATTTTAACTTGACCTAAGTCTATTTTCTCACCTCTTAACTCTATTAATTTCATATATTCAGAACAAAATATTTAGAGCGAACAATTGTTTTCAATAAATTCTTCTTCAGACTCTACAATTATAAATCCATTAATTTAAGCATACAATAGCCAGTAAAGGCAGATTAGAATCATATCAGAAAATGTATTGTTATTCTGTGTACGGTTATTCTACGTTAAAAAAAAGTGTATCCGCCGCATGCATAACTGGCCTTTATTGTAACGACAACAAATATTACATTTCATAATTGTAAGAACCTGAAGAGAAATTATTGAAAAGAATATTCCTCGTTTAGATTGACTTTTAATACTGTTTTTAGTTGAGGAGTTGAGTACCAGTTTAGCTGCAGGAAATGTTCTATCTACTGCTTTATTAAGTCGACATTTTAGAATGTCAGTTGCAATTTCCCCTTTGTAACTTAACTTAAGACACAAAGGTTTCTTTTCTACGGTATCCACTTTTACCTTGTCTGTAGGTATTGACATATACTTTTTTTAGGAAGCTCTGTGGATATTCATTTTCTTGCAGTGTGAGTTTCAATTTTTGCATTTCTTCCTTAATGCATTCCTCTGAACATATACGTTCTATTCTATAGCTTAGACACTTAACTAAGTTTCTTTTGTACTGAATCGTTGCGAAGGGATAGAAATAAAGCCAACAAATCCTCCATTAACACTATAAATTCCTTTCACAATTTTCTTTTCTTTTCTGCTTCTTCTTCTTCTATTCCTCTGTTTCATTGACAATCGTTCATTTTCGACTTTTGTGATTTCATGACCTTTCTTATGATTTTATTACCTTAGGTTTAAGTAGTGCTTTTCTAACTTGCTATCGTATTTACAAAATCCTGTTCATTCCACTTCATTATATTTTCGTTATTATTATTTGACATTTGACCATCATTCACCAATAGTGCTTGTAATTTTACACCATATCATCGTTATTATTATTTTACAATCATTCTTACTGTCGTTATTTTCAACCTTGAACTTATGTCCAGACCGCCTTATTCGTTGGTTTATTTTCACATTGTCTCACACACCCTGATTACACACACTCTCGAAAACTGTATTTTCTGTTGACTATATTTATATATATATATACACACATCATTAAATTAAATTACTTCATCTGATTTTGTCCCATGTTCTCATTGACCATGCATATTAAAAAAAACTATCTGACTATTGTTCCATCCCATCTGACTTATACTTGTTCCACAATACACTTTCTGATATGATTCTAATCTGCCTTTACTGGCTATTGTATGCTTAAATTAATGGATTTATAATTGTAGAGCCTGAAGAAGAATTTATTGAAAACAATTGTTCGCTCTAAATATTTTGTTCTGAATATATTATGGGAATATTCAATTTAATTTCATATATATTCGTATGACCAGTCGGTGTGTGATCAGATTGTTCGAAATGTGTTGCGCAAATACATAACACGATTCAGACAAATTACGTCTTCTTATTGCATTATCTGAATTCATAAAGGGAACTAATTGTTTGAAACAAATGTGAGTAATAAAATGTAAGAATATTTTCGAAAATAACAGCAATTTACTGTTATGGAATGACCGATTAGAAATATGACTAGCAACATACGACGAACGATGACTGAACGGCTGGTATTGTTAAGTGGTAAAAATACCCTGATCCGAATAGTAATTTCGAAGACCCACACGCTTACGAAGGACTTGTACATTATTCCAACAAGGGAATATAACTACCACACGAGAGTGTGAATGAAAAAGTGTGTCAATTAGTTCTACAGTACAACAGCATAAGAAAATAACTAACATATATGAACCAAGATAGGTAAGACAGTTTTTCACACTACCAACTGGATTCTGATTGGCTGCATTGTCATGTGACAAAGGTCATTGTTATTTAGTTGGTTGACAGACAAAATAGACAGTGAGTCATAACTGACTAACGATCAATATGCATATTTTTAAAACTCATGGAAAATTCACATTGTAACATATAGAAATTCAAAACAAGTGATTCAGCGCAGAGACTCTTTTCAACGAATTTAACATCAAGCTGTGCTATCAAATTTCACACAATATTACGTAACGTTTTTATAAATGCACACGCTTTCCAAATCCTATCCATTTATCCTATATATGACATTAATTGTTTTGCTACTTGACATTTATTTACCTAGGATTATGATCACAAACATTTAAGTTTTAATTGCATTTCATACTATTATTATTTTATGCATTAACACCTATGATTCAATTCCCTCACAGGATATATATATATATATATATATATATATATATATATATATATGTATACGATTGTACAGCGGGTCAATTTTAACTGCATCCCACAAATACCTTTACAAAATCTAAGGGTTCACATATGTATGAAAAACAAGTAGAATTCTCTATAAACAAATATGAGATAACAAAGATTCAGTCGGAGTTTCATTGATTGAATCTCAATCTATATGAAACACAAGAATTCAAACCGTCTGAACTTTACCATAATTCCTGACACGATAACCAGTCACTAATGATCAGACTATAATAAAGCATAAATAAATGAAGTTAATTAAAACCATGTAGAATGTTTGGCATGGGTCCTCTAGATGATAATGATACACAGTTGAAGCTTCATAATTATCTGTGATATATGTATGTGTTTACCAGGGTAAAACCTACACTACACAAAAGACATTCAACAACCGAATACATAACTGTGCTGCCATAGTTGTGCATACAGCTGTCAACTTCACAAAACACCTATAAAGACAAGTTTATTATTTATTATTATTTCCTTTAATTCCTAGAGGAACATAGGGCTTCAGCCATGCGTCTCCATTGCGTTCGGTTTTCTGCTGTAGTTTTCACCTGGCTCCAAGTCTGCCCACACGCTTTCAATTCCTCTTCACATGATCTCCTCCAGGTCACCCTTGGACGACCAACTCGTCGCTTCCCTTTCGGGTTCCACTCGATGGCTTGTCTAGTGATGTCACTTGCTGGTTTCCTCAGAGTGTGTCCAATCCATCTCCATTTCTTCCTGCCTATTTGTTTCACGATCGGTTCCTGGTTGGTTCGCTCCCAGAGATCTTTGTTGCTGATCCTCTCCGGCCATTTGATCTTGAGTATTGAGCGAAGGCATTTGTTAATGAAGGTCTGTAGCTTGTTTGAGCTGCTCTTTGTGACACGCCAAGTCTCTAATACGTATAGTAGTACTGACTTCACATTGGAGTTGAAAATACGGATCTTATTTTTGACGCTGAATGCTGTTGACCTCCACATAGACTTGAGAGAAATGAAAACTTGTCTTGCTTTTCCGATTCTGGCTTTGATATCCTCGTCAGTTCCTCCTGTAGTTGAGACGATGCTTCCCAGGTAGGTGAAAGAAGTTGTTTCCTTCAGGTTCCTCCCATTTATGCTGATTGTTGTCGGTTGTTGCTGTTGATGTTGGCCAGGAATCTTCATTACCTCTGTTTTGTCTATGTTCACTTGAAGTCCTATCTTTGCTGCTTCTTCTGCCAATTTGTTGCTTTTCACTTGCATATCTTCCAGTTTGTGGGAAATCAGACATATATCATCGGCGAAATCCAAATCCTCCAAGGCTTTTGTGTCGGTCCATTTTATGCCTGTTCCCTCGTTGGTTGCCGTTGTCTGCCGCATTATCCAATCTACTGCAATCAGGAAGATCATTGGTGACAGTAGACAGCCTTGTCTCACTCCCGTCCTCACTTCGAAGGATTCCGTGAGCCTCCCGTTGTGGATTACTTGGCATGCAGCGTTGTCATACAGCTGTTGGATGAGATGAATAATTGTCGGCGGCACCCCGTAGTAGCGAAGTAGTTGCCAAATCACCTCTCGATCGACGCTGTCGAAGGCTTTCTCAAAATCGATGAAGTTGAGATAGAGAGGTGACTGCCATTCCAAACTTTGTTCAATGATAATCCGTAGGGTGGCGATTTGGTCAATGCATGACTTGTTCCTCCTGAATCCGGCCTGTTCCGGACGAAGTTTTTCATCTAGGGCTTGTTTAATTCTCTCCAGGATGATGCGACATAGTATCTTGCTTGGAATGGACAGAAGCATAATTCCACGCCAGTTTTTACATTGACTCAAGTCTCCTTTCTTTGGCAGTTTGAATAAGTATCCGTTCTTCCAATCCTCGGGTACTTTGCCCTCTTTCCACACCTTCTCTAGTAGTGGCGTCATCAAGTCCGCTGTTGTCTCTGGGTCTATTTTCAAAGCTTCTGCTGGGATTCCATCTGGTCCTGGCGCTTTCCCAGCTTTTAGCATCTTGATGGCATTCAGGACTTCGGATTTCGTCGGAGGGTCGATGTTCATTGGTAGTTCTGCTTCCGTTGTTGGTATTGTTGGACGCGTTGTAGGTGGCGGACGATTTAGAAGTCTTTTGAAGTGTTCAGCCCAGTGCTTCCTCTGTTCCACCTCTTTGGTGATTGACTTTCCATTGTCGTCCTTTATTGGCTTAATCTGTGTCGAACTTTTGCCCGAAAGGTGCCTAGTTGTTTGGTATAGTGTAGCGAGGTCTCCTTTGCCTGCGGCTTGTTCTGCTTCGTTTGCCATGGTTTCACAATATTTTCTTTTGTCTTCCCTGGCACTTTTCTTCACTCTTTTGTTCAGTGCATTGTAGCTTGCATTCAACTCCTGTTTCTGTTGCTCGTCGGTGCACTGGATAATCTTTTGTTTCGCCACCCTTCTCTCTTCTATTAGTTTCCAAGTGTCCGTAGAGAGCCACTGTTTGTCCTGTCTCTTTTTTCTGCCTAGGACTTCCATGCAGGTTTGACTCCACACCGTTTTCAATTTGTTCCAATGCTTTTCGACGCTGACCTTTTCGTTGGTGTTGATTTGTGTCTCGGCTTTTTCCTTTATGTTTGCAATGAAGATGTCCTTTGTAGTCTGGTCCTTCAGTTTTTGACTGTTGAACTTGGCTTGTGGTCTATCTGCAGCTCCTGTTTCCCTGAAAGCTTTTAATTTGATTTGGATTGTCCCTTGTACGAGGTAGTGGTCTGAGCCAACGTCTGCTCCTCTTCTTGCTCTTGTGTCCAGTAGGCTGCGTCTCCACTTCCTCGATATTGTGATGAAGTCAATTTGGTTTTTGGTTCGCCCGTCTGGTGACACCCATGTAGCCTTGTGGATATCTCTGTGCTTGTAAACACTGCCACCAATCACTAGTTCGTTGAAGGCGCAGAAGTCGGCGAAGAGTTCTCCGTTTTCATTCATTTCTCCAAGAGCTTCTCTACCCATGATGAGTTCTCTTCCTGTATTGTCTGGTCCCAGTTTGGCGTTCATATCTCCCATTAGTATTTTAATGTCGCCAGCTGGAGTATTGTCTATTGCTGCCTGTAGTTGTCTGTAAAATTCTTCTTTCGCTTCGAGGTCTGCGTTGTTGGTGGGTGCATAACATTGGATTATTGACACCTTTCTTCCTTTGGAGTTGAATCTGGCGGTCATTATCCTGGACGAGATCGCTTCCCATTGCATCAAAGCTTTCGTTGCCGTTGGTGACATCATGATAGCCACGCCCTCGGTGTGCGTGTGGTTATCTTCTGGGTGACCGGAGTAGATCACTGACTCTCCCGTTGATAGTTTGGTGAGTCCACTTCCATTCCATCTGCTTTCACATATTCCCAGCACTTGGATTCTGTATCTTTTCATCTCGCTGGCGATCTGGGCAGCTTTGCCAGTCTCGTACATGGTGCGGACATTCCATGTCCCCACACAGACTTTTTCTTTTGTCGCAAGGAGATTGCTCATGGTGAAGTTTCTGTAGCAGGTTTGTTTACAGGGTGGGGTTGCTGGCCTCACGCCTGAGTTTCGATAAAGACAAGTTAAACAAAATAAACATAATAAAGCTGCATATGGCAACATTAATAATTACACGATATATGCCTTCTGAACTAAGACCATATTGTTCGATATAGTCAATGCAATGTCGGAAAAATGCCGGTAGCATAACTTCGTCATGACTTGGATTTCTGTTACAAGCAACATCTAAAGGAACTCCAAAAATCGGCTATATAAAAGAAAAGAAAGAAAAAGGAAGTATGAGATCAAACCAAATGATTTACGTGAAACAATAGAAAAGGAACACATTATACATTGAATAGCTAAGTTATTAGAATTTTAGAGATTTGATTAATTTCAAGGTGAACTTTACAATGTGAAAAAACCCTTCTAGTTCGCATCCTCAACGTCTTTAGGAATGCAGCTCTGAGAAGTTGAACCATGAACCGCATAGTAAATTGATAAAAATTGGAAACTAGAGGTCATCTCGATTGTGATACAGTTAGTCAATGGTAACGTCTTTTACTTTGCCTTATCACACGTGAATGCTACTGAAGACGACGAGACTTGCTGGAAAAAGCTATCTAGTGTGTGCAATAATCAATATACTGTCGATTTGCCATTAGCAAACACCTAATCAATAACTTCAGAGCAATCAGGCTTTATTACATTCAGGTTGTATTTTCACGCAGTATAAACTCTCAGTAATTTCTGTAGCACTGGGTGACACGGGTTCGAATCCCCTAGAGAACATAGATTCCCTCAAGGTTGCAGATACGCCTTGCCAAAGAATGCCAACAAGCACAAAACCTAGGTCCAAGGCCTTCTGTCGATAGCCTCCAACCACCTAATAACAACAGTTGAGAGTGCATTGTGATGTCGAGGCACCCAGCCACATTACGAACTTGAATTATTTTCAAATTATATATTTAAAAGAGAAATTTAAAAAATATTGGAGATCACTGACTAGTTTCTTGGGTTATCTGGTCATGCATATATATATATATATGTATATATTAATATATATATATACATATATATACATATATATATATATATAAAGGTTAACGGTATCTGATATACACCTATGATGACATTTAAAACTAATCTTTAGTAAAGTAATAAGTGTAGTTAAATTTAGGCTAAAGAAATAAGTATTCCGACATGTATAGTTTGACAGTATGCAACATGTTTACAGGATATTATTTATCTAAATGCCTTTGACACATTTTGTGTTATGTCGGATGACGTCAACACGTATTTCAGTGTCCGAGCTGCGTGCTGAAAACAGCCAGTCGCGACGCTTTATTGCATAAATTTGTAATAAGCACGGGGAAGTTTATGTCTGGTTATAAATTTAGTGGATAAGGGACATTTGTTTGCAATTGGTATGCTATCGCGTTTTGGTATATTTGGGTTGTAAATAGATACAAAATCTTTAAGCAGCTACAACAAGGTTACATAGTGTTTTTAGATCAAACAAAAAATCATATTACTTATAAGATTGGATAAAATACTTATAAAAATTGCATAAAAGACTTCTTTGTGATTTAAAAAAAACAACTCAATGGAGATATTCACCTTAGTGACAATTTTTACTGCTTTCTCACCATTCAATACTGATTTATGCGAATGCAATTTCAAGCCTCGTTTCTTTTTACTTTTCACAGGTTGTTGTACTGTTGCAGATATAGGAAGAGCAGCATCCATATTAGATTGTTCAGACACTTTCTTTTGTTTCAATTCTTTCTTCTTGATTTTTCTTTTGGACTTACTATTACTTATCTTTTCAGCAGCAGTAGGGACAACCGACAGTGGACTACTAAGATTGGTATCATCATTAGTGACAATTTGAAAAGAAGTTTTCATTTTCGACGATTTATTATTTAACAAACTGGTAGACGAGATAATACTCGTTGGAAGAGTAGAAGTAATATTAGTGGTAGATGTAACATTTGTAGTATCAATATCATCCACGTTGCTTTTTTTATGCTTCTTCGACCTAGACAATCCTTTAAAACCGGATTTGCTTTTCTTAGCTGATTTTTCGGTTAAACTGGAAGACAACATTTCTATTTAAAACTGAAAATATACAAAAAAAAATTTGAAAAAAGATGTGTAAACTCATATATATATATATATATATATAAGCGACTAGGTAAATTAATTTCCTGTTGAAAATTTTTACACCAATCTGTTTTTCTCACTCTAAGAGTCCCGGAGTATAACATGGGGCTTCAAGCATTTCTGAAATTTCAGTGACAGTGATGCTGTTTTTTTTTCTCCCTAAACTAACGCTCAACGTGCACTCTTTTTCGGGCTTACTACAAGCTAGCAAACTAGGCGGAGTTTAGGAGTGCATCGGTCGGAAATCAAACATCAGCTTCCAGTCTGAGATGTATTCCATTATTAAACTACGAACATAACACTGATCTACTTTATTGTATTTCATTGACGTTAAGAAGACAAAAAACCATTTAGTTCTATAGAAGTGAGGAAAGGTTTACCATAAGGCATACTGATTAAAATACTTTCTTACAGCATTACAAACAAAAAAATAATATAAGTAAGTTAAATATATTCACTACTTACTTTTTTGTCCTATAGTAGACTAAGGTATGCACTCATTGAAAAGACAAGACCCCACTCTTCATTACTTCAAATAATTGTGTTTATAAAATAAGCCAAATGCGATTTTGAAACCGTTTCCAACCCAACGAGAATCAGATTTCTTCATATAAATAAATTTGAATTCAATACTGAAAAGATGATTGAGATACAGGAAAAGGATATAAGCAAACAATGAAGATAGTCAACTTCATAATAAACGACTTCAGCTTAATGAACATTTCGGTTATGTATTGAGAGGATAACCGTTCAAATGTTAGGCGCTAAATTCCAAAAACTAAAAAATTAACCAGTCATATTCAAGTATTGGTTTGCAAGGATTTGATTGGTTTCAGGATTTCATTATGAACCGACAACCTGGGAGTAGTGGATAGTTGTTTCGTCCAAGTTTCTACCACCTCAGCAATACGCACCGGAAAGGCTCCCTGTGTGCTCCAGGAGTCATCTAAAATAGGCGATCTATTCCAGAAGTCTACGCCTATTCACCTGACCCTTAGTGATGATTAGAATCTACAACTAAAAATTCGACGAAATTTACAACTCGTGATTTCGACTAACTTAACCGCTTATCTTAATCAGCAAAGAAGCGGTTTCCATTATCTGTTTCTTTCATTCATATTTTATTAAAAAAAACTAAAATTGGAGTACAATTTGCAAACAGCGTGTAGTTGTTTAAACCAAATTCAGATCTAATGGTTTGAAAAAATCAAGGCATTGAGAATGTGATTTTCACTGCTCAATGAATGTAGAACAAAAAAAAATGAGGACTGTTTTACTTAAGTTTCCTTGAAGGTAATGACAAGCCGGAAATTTACAATATGGCGAGTTAAACTGTATTCTTTTCCGTTCGAGACACATAAAAGAACGCAGAATATATGCGACAATGTGAGCGTTAGATGTTATAAATGTAAGAAATGTTATATCACCTATGCGTACAATTGGGTGTAGTTCTTATGGCAAATATGTCAATAAAATTTCTTCGTGACAGTTAATTGAAATCTGAGAAATTTGTATTTAGCTTTCTCACATCCACTGAAAAGAATTTCATTCCACTTTGTATAAACCTAGGCCGTTATTATAACATATCCCTAATAATTTTCCGGAGCTTATCTTGGACAACTTTAACGTTATCACTGGAGAAATAGAAAACGCAGCCAAATTCTGATAGCGTGTTTCCCCATAACAATATACCTACTTCCAAGATTCAACTAACGGAGCGAAAGAGAACACCAACCAATTTTAGAGGAATGCAAACACGGTGATTACAAAGACATCATATTACTTACTACATAATAAACATTTGTAGAAAGCGCTTTTGCTTATCAGTCAGTCGTAGTAAGAATTTAAATATTCACAAACACATCTTCCACATCAAAATGCAATGCCATTCATAAAGTCATGCATGCATCAATCGCATACTTCTCAAAACTCTTCTCACTCATCATCAGAACAGAAAACACCAGTATTTACGAAAATTTATTTATTTCAAAAATATGTGATTTTGGCAACAGAAAAAAAAACGATATTCTCACATGAAAAAACCCAAACGCGCAGACAGAATAATGGCGGGGGTGGGGGGAAGAAGACAGAAGAAGTATTCAAGAGGAGCACGTAGGGTGAGCAAGATCAAAAGCCGAAATGTGGAGATAAAAATTTAATGAAATCTATGTTATCATCCGTCGCTAATTCTCTGTTTGTATTTTTCGGCTTGTTATATACGTGTTACAACACGCTACTACAGTGCTCAGGCAAAAAATGATTTATATCAATGTATATTGAATTTACTTCTTCGTATAGCAAAAAAGTATGTAGAAGGGAGAAATACATCAGAAGACGAATAATAAATAGCAAAACAAAATAAAGAGAATCTATGCGGGACAACAGTAATTTGTATTGTAATAGTAGTTGAGATGGTAGTAAGCAAAGTGAAAAAAAAGTTGACCAGAATCCCACAAGCTTTTTGCAATCTTAGGAAACTATCCAAAAAAACGGGGATCAAAGAAGCTGGGTAACAGTCAATGCAACTATCATCTAGTAAAGACATGATACAAGTCTTCAGAAACAATAGAGATACAGCGGGGGAACAAGAAGGATTAAGTGTAGGAAAGTGTGGTGAGAAAAGAGTAACGGGAAATTGGCAGGTAATGTGAGAATTTATAGAAAATACCACAACACAGTTAACTTCAGGGTACAATGTACACCTTTGATCATCCTTGCTCTACTCATCTTTATAGTAAGTGAGATAATATATATATATATGTCTGTGGAAAAAACGCCACAAGTAGGAGTAGAGGTTATACAGAGGTGGAGAAAAAGTGTATGTCTTCAGGCTGGAAAGAATTTTTCAAAGAACCTGCATTCACAAAAAAAAGGTTCACCTCAGCCAGTACGCATGTTAATATTTACGTATTTACTTTGTAACTTAGATAGTGGACAGGATTATGGGAGTAGCAATGATGATGATTCAATTGTTTAGTGTCAATTTGGTGTTAACGTTACAAGTGATTAGAAATGATGATAATGACGATGACTATAGCAATAATAGTAACAATAACAATAACAATAGTAATAACAATAACAATAGTAATAGTGATAGTGTTTATACGAAAAATGATAACTGAACCAGTCTCGTTTTTAGATTAATACGAACCGTATTGTAAGTTCAAAGGTGTAACCAAATCAGATGATGTACTCGAAGTCAACTGATGACTAACCCATAATTTGTTGATATGTCTATATTCCGACTCCACAAGAAACAGAGGATTTCCACGGCTAGATATTAAGAGAAAGATTACAGTTTATAATGAGAAATTTAATTATATACCAATGAAAGCATAGACAAACAATAGAAAATTAAATTTTGATAGACATTTGAAAAACAAAAATCCACTCGGAATTGCTAAACATGTCAAGTTTCCTTGTGTAAGCCACTAATCAATACGCTGCATTATGGCGGTGAAGGCGACATGGTTAAATAATTTGTCAACAAGCTAAAGAATAACACAGTCTTATGTATGCCTTGATTAAAATTAAAGGTTTCTTTAAAAAAATAAGGACGCTGGATTTTCCTCAGTCAGTAATTCCGAAGTTCGAGTCCCGCTACATATACTTCCAACCTGCGTCACTAAGAGTTGCCATCGAATCACAACTAATAGCCTAAAATTTCAAAGGTCAGTTTCATGTAACTGACTTCATACAAATATTAAAATTAAATAGAGCACAGTCATTGCGAATCAATAACATATTGTATAAGACAATGGTACTGTAATAAGCGTAAAAGAAATTTACCGTAAATCTGGATCAGTTTCACCAAACGAATCCCTGTATGGTGCAGGCACTTCTGTAATACGGCGAGCTTCATCTGATAACATGATTACACGGCATGAATGAATACGTAGTAAGAAACTATAACCAGAATGACAACGTCTTGAATGAGCTTGCATACGATAAACAGCGAATTCCTGATTACTTCCACTAGAATTGCCATTTCTGTTGCTATTTAAGTTCGAAGATGCTGGTGTTCCTCCAGTACAATTAGATTTCTGTTCGAACTGACGACAACCATAGCAAAGTAAACATGCCAAGTGTCCACAAACAAGGCATAAACTTAAGTCACTGTGTATATGATTTTCTGCATGACAACTGTAAAAAGAAAAAGTCACTCAGTTAAATGTTAATGGCCATACCACGTAAAAACGAAGATCCATCAACTCACAAAGACGAAAAATCTTGACAAATTTTAAAGATGTGATTCGGTGGCTGTAGAACAGTTCAGTCAGAGGGGTAAGAATATTTGAAACTGGTAGAAAACCTGTGTTCTAACAATATCGTAATAATCAACCATAAGACATCAGATAATTATTCAGTCATCTGAACTGAGATTCAATAATATTTATATCGCTTCTACTGACAAATGATGTAAAAAGCAAAATCAGTTGTCCATATCAGCTATTGTCAAAAGTTAGAGATTAAATCAGATTCCCAGAAGGTTGTGTGTAGCATTCGCCAAATGAATTCGAACGGTGTACATCAGACTGTGAACTGATATCCAAGGAAACATATGTATCCTATTACATCTAGGAATGGACGGCTACAACAGCTCGTTTTATCAGGCAAACACCACACACTTTGGTCTTTTGTGAATAAGTCAGGACTAAAATGGAAAGGCTTGCTAAACGATTCCCGAATACACTACGAATACTGCAGCTTTGTTTCAAAAGACTAGGTATTATATACTTTAAATTACAAAGGTCAGCAACCGTTACTAAACTGCGAGCGGTATCAGACGGTGTCGACCTAGTTGCAGAAAAAGTCATCAAAATCTTTTTTACATAAATGACAGAGAATTTTGATGTTGACAAAAATAGACCTGAGTGCTGACGGTGATATTAGAGCTATCGATATGAAGTATTCTTCGGCGCACTTGACCAAAAAATAATGAAACGTCTAAAATATATGATGACTAAATGAAGTCCTTAGAAAATACAAAGCATTCGATGAACTCAACTACTATTAAGGCGTGTGTGCTACTGACAAGCTTGTATAAGAAGTAATTAATTGCATGTATTATGCTTAGAAGAGCTGAAGTAAAAGATCTTCGTGAAACCATTTCACAAAACATGAAAGGAAGACAAAAGGAACAAAAAAACGCAGAACACATCCAAATGGAGATTGCAATGTAGGGGTTCATGCATTCTGCGAGATAACCATAAATCATTTCTCCAAATTAACAATCTGCTATCAAATGCAACCGTGTTCTGCTGTCACACTATGACAAAACTACTGAAAGATGAATAACACCAGTTATTATAATAATTGACAAAAGAATCACACTTAGTAATTCACATTATGCATTAAAATTTATACAAATGAATAAGTGAAAATATGGTCTTGTCGAATCATATGGTATAAAAAAAAAAAGAAACTCTACTTTGAAATAATTAACTTACTCCATATCGATAGCCAATAAAAGCAGATGAGCATATTCTTTTGGTAAATCTATTAATCTTGGTAAATGTACATTAGGATAAGGTGTTAATAATCTATCAGCTAATGAAGATTTTATAAATCTTGAACACAATGAATTGTAGTATTTACGACTTAATGAATTTTCTCCAGTTAAACACCAAAGAGTTATTAAGCGTGCTAACCATAACGATTCACATAGCATAGAAACATTTGTAGATTGACTAGACGTCTTTGCTTCTGATACGCTACGCAATGCATTTGAATGCAAATCTGATGATGATGATGATGACGGCGACGGTGGTGATGACAACAGAGTTAATAAATCACTAGGAGTTGATGGTAAACCTAGATAGACTAAGAGTAGACTATGTTCATGCATAGTATCTGCAAAACCAAAAAAAAAAAAAATGAAAATTGACAGTTTAATAAACTCACAGTGTATAAACAGGAAACCATAAACTTAGGCTATCCTATAAATATAACATTACATAATATCCTAACTGTTCTAACCCCTCCCAATTCGTAAGATGCAGTGCACCACTGCAAGCCAATGGTTATTGGTGAGCATTTACCCTCACACTCGACTTGGTGGAACTCAACGGCCCACGATTTCTCACCAGAACTCCAGGCAACTCCCTCTGGTAGTAGTCAGTCGCTAGTGAGTAGTAAATTAATTTTTCAATTTGATAAAACGAGCAATAAAACATTATTATTATTATTATTGTTCCCTTGGGTTCCTAGTGGAACATAGGGCTTCAACTACACGTCTCCACTTGCTTCTGTCTTCTGCTGTTCTTTTCACTTGCGTCCATGTTATTCCATACTGTTTCATCTCCTCCTCACACGATCTCCTCCATGTCACCCTTGGACGTCCCACTCGCCGCTTCCATTTCGGGTTCCACTCGAGGTCTTGACGCGCGATGTCACTTAACGGCCTCCTCAGCGAGTGTCCAATCCATCTCCACTTCCTCCTGCATATTTGTTGGGCGATTGGTTCCTGTTTCGTTTGTTCCCATAGCTTCTTGTTTGTGATTCTTTCTGGCCATCTAATCTTCAGTATGGAGCGAAGATAGTTGTTGATAAAGGTCTGCAACCTGTTGAAAATATTCTTGGTGACCCGCCAAGTTTCTGATCCGTAAAGCAAAATTGACTTGACGTTTGTATTGAAAATCCGAATTTTGTTGTTGATGGTGAGTGACGAAGATTTCCAGATTGGTTTCAGGTTGATGAATGTGTTTCTCGCCTTTCCGATTCTCGATTTGACATCCTCGTCCGTTCCTCCTGTGGTTGAGACAATGCTCCCCAGATAAGTGAAAGAAGTAACCTCTTTCAAATCCTTCCCGTTGATGGTGATTGGCGCTGGATGTTGCTGTTGTTGTTGTTGGTTGGTTATTTTCATAACCTCCGCCTTGTCTATGTTCACCTGGAGTCCTGTCTTTGCTGCTTCTTCGACCAGTTTGTCGGTTTTTGCTTGTAAGTCTTCGATTTTGTGTGAGATCAAACATAAATCATCCACGCCCGAAATCCAGGTCTTCTAGGTTCTTCACGTCGGTCCAGGATATCCCTGTCTTCTCGTTTCCCACTGTCTGACGCATAATCCAGTCCACCACAATTAGGAATATCATTGGTGATAATAAGCACCCTTGTCTGACTCCTGTGTTTACTCCAAACGCTTCGCTGAGTTTTCCGTTGTGGATCACTTGACATGTGCCGTTGTCGTATAGTTGTTGAATAAGGTTGATGAATATTTGCGGTACGCCGTAGTACTCAAGTGGTTTCCAAATTACTTCGCGGTCAACGCTGTCGAAGGCCTTCTCAAAGTCTATGAAGTTGAGGTAGAGATTTGATTGCCATTCCATGCTTTGTTCGATGATAATGCGTAGAGTTGCAATTTGGTCAGAACATGATTTGCCTTTCCTGAATCCAGCTTGTTCTGGTCGGAGTTCTGTATCCAGCGCAATGAAACATAAATAACCTAAATCCACATTGTATAGCAGATTTTGTCAAGCACCGACATCAGCTGCAGAAACATTTGAAATCTAGAAGTGTAGTGCACAGCTGCTAAACATAGGTATGAAAATGGCATGAAAATCCTAAGTCTTTAGTGAAAAGTTGTAGATAGTGAGATCTATCAAGCCAACAGACACAACAGATATTCACCAACAGCATTTCTCAGTGGTGAAGATCGTCCACGTGGGCCGTCTC